GATTTTGGACACTTAGAAGAGAATTAGGTTTAACTGACCTATCTTCACTTAGTGTTTAAAATAATTTAGCACTTTTAATAAATACTGAAAAATGTTTATAATAATAATTTTTGATTGTATTCTTGCTATTAGTTAGGGGGAGTTTATGATTCTTAATAAAAATTAATTTTATGTTCAAATAAAGTTTGAAGATTAATTTGATTGATTGAACATAATTAATTTTTGATATATGAGTTGCCATTACCATTAGAGCCAAATTATTTAGCATTTTAAGTGTTTAAAACAGATTTTTGATATTTTTGTGCTTCATGCACCGATGCATTTAACAATGCATCGATGCATCCTTGAATATGCATCGATGCATAAGACCATGCATCGATGCATCCGTCGGGTTTTAGGTTTTAAAGGCTTCATCTTCTTTATTTTTCAAAACCTAAACTCTAAACTTTTCACGGCCGTTCGTCCCCTTCTCACCCTAAATCTCCATTTTGCTCAAAACCTTCGGGAAATCATCGGATTCTTCAAGATTTTTATCCTACAAACCTGCTACAATCATTAAATCGCTCAAAACATCTCTACATTCCCCTCAATCCAAATTTTTCAAGGTAATTTTTCAAAAACTCTATTTTATTAATTTTTGAACTTAGGACTCGTTTAGATTAGTTCTAGTTTGAAATAATTATCGGGCATTGGTTATATGATGATTCTAAACTAGTTTCTACAATGAATTTCATCAAAAACGCATAATTTTTCAAAATTGTTTTTGAAATTTCGAATTAAAAAAAAATCGAAAATTACTGATAGTTTTGATTTAATTGTGTTGTTTTCATGAAAACTATACATATTATGATATTATTTTTAAATAATTTTCAAAACTTTGCCCATTAGGATTATGTTAGAGAACCTTGAATTATTGAGGACTCATTTGAGTTTTGGGATTGAATTTTGTGCATACATGTGTTTTTAAATTGCTGGTGATATTTCTTTTCCGATTTCCCTAACCATGTCTAATCCCAAACGCCCTAGGTCATCCTCGAGTCGGTCTCACCAAAACCGTCCTCCCGCTCCTAGACCTCAAAATCCATCCAATATTCCTTCATCCCTCATTAGTACTTGTTTTAACATGCCTGAAAACCGTAGGGATGAATTGTACTCTAGGTACATGAACTCCTTCCAATCCTATCGTATTAGGGAAGAGCGTATTCCTTCTCTACAAGCTATGATAAAACTTGAATTTGAATACCTCTCAATTCTTCGCCGATGGAAGCTTGATAAACTCTTTTCTCTTCAACCCATCGTCTTTCACCAACTTGTCCGCATCTTTTATTCCAATGCGGTTTGTATTCAGAACACAACTCAGTGCGGTACTATAGCGATTAGATCCTATCTTTTAGGACAATATATCACTATTACTTCTGAATCTATCGCATCTCATTTTGGTTTAGATGACGAGGGTTTATTTAATGAGAAGGAAGATGTGGAATATCCATATCTCCCTAATGCTAGTGTCAGTACCTTTAGGTCTCACCACGATCGATTTCTTCACTTAATGATCTCTTGGTGGTTTAGAACATCCGCAGGTTAGTACTCCACACTACGTGCTACAGACTTATGGTGGATGCACTGTATAAAGAACAAAAAGAAAATCAATTTTCCACATATTGTCTTTAGCGCGCTTGTCGATATCATAAACATCATTCCCTCAAAGCATGTAGAAACCCTACCTTATGGTTGTCTACTAAGTAATTTGTTTATCAAACTCGGCCTAGATGTCTCCCTTGACAATCCTATTCTGCTCCAAAACCCAATCAATATCACATCCTTAAAGAAATCGGATTGGAAATTGGATGAGAACACCGGACTATGGTCTTTTCGACCCAGTAAGCAAACCCCGGGAGCTAGTTCTTCACGAGCTACTCCTAGTTCTTCTCGTGCTCCTCCTCCTACTCCAGCTCCTGACGCTGATAATGATCCAGAGCTTCAAAGGCTTATGAGAGATATTGACGAGGAAGTACCAGCTCGGCAAGATGATCAAACGCCACCTTATTTCCGATCTTTTTCTAGAGTCGTTTGATCTGCGTTTTGCTTCCATGGAGTCTACGATTACTGATTTTCAGAGGGAGATGCGTGATCGTATGGATGCTCTAACTCTTGAAGTTCGAGCTCATTATCCTCCTCCTCATGATCCTCCGACGGAGTAGACTTGCTTGTCATGCTTTCTTGTTTTTAAAACATGGATTGTTAAACTTTTTGATTTGGATGTTTATGTTTGTTTGGATGTTTATGATATTTGGATGCTTGACTATTTGAAGTTAAATATATATATATTTGGTTTGACATTATATATTTTTGCATCATTAGAAATTTATGACCAATTATGCCATTTCACATTTTATTATGAATATTGTTTATGAAAGCTAATGGCTAATCTCTCTTTTGATTGTGATCTTAGCAGCTTATTATTAATAAATCAATTGGCTAATTTTTTTTAATATTCTTGTTTAAAACGTTTTTATAGAGTCTTTTTGATTTAACAAAAAGGGGGAGAAAATTTAAGATGTGCTATAGTAAGGGGGAGTAAGTTTTTCAAAATCGATTTTCAAAAATAATTTCTTAAACAAATCTTAAAATTATTCAAATGTTTTGTTATATCAAAAAGGGGGAGATTGTTGAAAACATTTTTGATATTTCGATATAACAAAATTAAGTTAAATGAATTTTAAGATTTCACAAATGATTTTACAAATTTATATTCAATTAACCGAATATCAAATTATTACTCCAAGTTTTTCAAGATCAATTTTAATCCTTACTAAATGTGTAAAATTGTGATTTGTACTTAAACTATTTTTGAAACAATTTTCACAAAGTATTTTGAAACAAAAACAAGACTTAAATCAATTATTCAAATGCATGCACCGATGCATCAGTCCATGCATCGATGCATCGATGAATTAATTGAACATCGAATGCATTCCATGCACCGATGCACTATCCATGCATCGATGCACTCTGAATATTTTCAAAACATCGAATGCATTTGATGCACAAGCCATGCATCGATGCACCAGGCTATTTTTCAAACATCGAATGCATTTAATGCATCGATGCACACTTGGTGCACCGATGCATCAAGTGTTCCAACGGTCAAAATATTTGAATTTTACACGAATGCACCGATGCATCCTTGATCATGCATCGATGCATGAGACGCTCCACCTAGAAAAATTAATTGTTTTCACACTTAAACGGCTCTATTATCCCCACTAATTATCACCAACATTCAGAATTGATTCAAGGGTATTTAAACAAGTTCTGGAGCCATTGATCAAGAACAAGAAACATCAAGCAACTAGAATCAAGAGAGAATCAAAGAGAAAGCATCAAACCTCAAGTTTGAGCATTTCAAGCCTATTTTTTATCCAATATTCATTTGCTTTCAAGAACACTTTTGTACTCAATTGTATTTATCTTTGAGTGTTCTTTTCTTTGTTCTAGAATTGTGCAAACATCTTACCTTGTGAGGTTTTCTTGTAAGTTTGCAAATTTGTAATATTCTCTTTGGGAAAAAGAGTGTTCTCAAGAGTTGGGGTATACTCTTGAGGGATTTTGTAAGGTTATCTCTTTGGCCTCAAAAGAAAGAACAAATTAGTGAATTTGTTGGAAAATCCTTAGTGTGGATAGCTAAGGTAGTGGACGTAGACTTTGTTTGAGAAAGTCGAACCACTGTAAATCGCTGTGCAATTACTTTCAATTTTCTGCAAAAGCTTCCACGAAATTTTTAATTGCCAATTCACCCCCCTCTCTTGGCCGATTCCGTCGATCGATTAACTCAACAGAGCCGAAACGAGCTACTTGATATTCGACTCAAAAAGCTCATGAGCAGCTCAAAAATATAATATATTAAGATTTTATTTTTTAAAAAATAAATTATTAATAATATTAATATTTATGTATTGATTTTTTTTAAATACAGTAAGATTTTCATGTATTTAAAGTTTAGGTTCGAGTTTGAGGCTTTAATCGAGTTAAGTTTAAGAATTTTTTTTCATTTCGAGCCTTTTCGAGATGCTCACGAGCTTCAGTTTAGGATTTCGAGTTCGAGTTGAGCTTGAAAATTTTAAGCTCGCGAGTTTTCGAGTCGAGCTCAGCAATACTCGAGCTCGACTCGGTTCGTTTACACCCCTACAAGTAAGTATTAAATTTGATATAATAAAAATAGATTCGCATTATAATTGAATGAATAAACTTTTGATCATTAATTTAAAGTGTTACATTAAAATCATTGATTTTGTGGTGAAATTATTATATAAGTTAAATACAAAATATGATAAAAATTTTATAAATGGTTAGCTTAATTCAATGGTTGAGTGGCTTGCATTTCATGTAAGAGGCCTAGGTTTAATTCATGTTAAAAGCAAGAATAATTTATCTTTTATTTTATTATCCTCATAATTGGTGACACGTGTCACTATTTAATTGGTTGAATAAAATCCATTAAAATATATTGGCAGAGAAATAAAAATATGATGTAAAAATTAAAAAAAAATTGATATGTCATGCCACGTTACATTATCGTTAATGTTTATGAAAAAAATAAACTTTAGATACTAAAACGAAATAAAAATGATAATATAAGTCCTTAACGTATTAATCCTTTTAATATTTACTTTAATAAAAATTCATAAATATATTAAAATAATAATTACTGTTTGGTTTTTGGACGTAGTAAAATAATAATTATTAATTAATAATTTATTATTTTTAATTATTTATTAGAAAATTAATAGTTAGTGATTTATTATTATTTTTATTATCTATTAGTAAATTAGTAATTTTTTGAAAGAAATAATTTTATAACTATTGAAAAGTTATAAAAAAAATTTAACGAGTTGTTTGTAAATTTATAGAGTTGAGTTGGACTTTACTCGACATAGCTCGTTAAAGTATCGAGTCAACTTGAATCGAGCTTTTGATCGATCGTTAAAGAGGAAGGTAATCTGGTTCATAAGCCGGCCCCAAGATCTTATTCGACCATGACACAAGTCCGTAGTTAAGAGCCGATGTTGCAACTCCCTGCCAAAGCCAAAAATCCACACATATCAGATAACATTTCAAGTATCGAGTCCAAAGATTTAAGGACATGCACGCGTATCAGATTTTTACGATTCGAGATCCTATGGAAATCATAAGAAACTTACAGCATACACGACGGCAAAAAGCTCCGACCGTTTCAGATGCCAATCTGTTGACTCATTGGTGACAAGAAATGATGCCAAATCATATTCAAGACCACACAGGCCGTTTCCTCTTTAGTTTTACTCAAAGAGATTTCTTTTCGATTCGCTTCGCAAATAAGACACGACATCTAACCTACCACAAGCAAAGAACAGAACCATCAAGCATATAGCATACCTGAATGGCCAGGAAAGCAGCCATGCAAATACAGTTCACTATCAAGCATAGAACTCTGATATGCCAATGATCAAGTCCAGACTCGAGAAAACTAGACATAAGCCATCATTCGGCTTATGTCACCTTGGGCAGCAAAGTCTCAATTCGGCTGTCCAAGCAAAGCCGGACCACGAAACAGAACCATTAACAATGCGCCAGAAACACAGATTATGGTACCTCCAACCTTTGTTTGACCTTCAGTTTTGAGCAAATTCACTCTTTCTGTACTGCAGGTACAATTTCATACAAATTACGGAAAAAAGTAACAGACAGATATAGGAATTGAAGGTTGTGCAATTACCCCATCATTACAGCAAAGAGAAAGGTAAAGACTGGAATTGAAGGTGGCGTAAGTTGGATTCGTGTAGCTCAGACCAACGAGGAATAAAAGCTGGTTCCCGAATATACTATTCCAGTTGACCAATCAGGCACAATCCGAGTATAACATATTCCCAGATCAACCAGGATTTGTTCAGATAAAGTGATACTCACCCAGTTAACCCAAGAAAGAAGAATGATAGGAGGACACGTTTAGTCATAGGAGGTCGAATCCTTCTGCAGGAAAGTCAACAGACAAGAATAGAGCACAAGCAACCAAAATATTATGAAGCAGAGATGTTAAAATTGACTAAAAATGGTATGAATCTTTAACAAGAACAGAATGCAATCAAAAAACAAAAGCAATAAATTTAGCTGCAGATACCATGTCGATCATCTTAATGAGAACAGATCGATCAATCACTAAATATAAAGTCAAACACATTAAAGTATCGAGCTTTGATTCAATCAATGCATAACCAATTGTTAGAACCAAGAGAAAATAAAGGACCCAATTTTTTTTTAACAAATTAATGATAAGGTCAGACCTTTCAGTAACATAGGCGATGGGCGCAAGAATTGAGAGAGCAAGGAGATCACGGGAAACGCAGAAAACAAGCTGGTTGATACCAGTATTGAGGGCTACTTTGGTAATTACATGATAGCCTCCATTGACGAATTGAACCAAAGCCATGGAAGGATTAGCTTTCCATGCTTCTCTCTCGAATCCGCCATTAGTTCGTGCCATGTCCCTTCCTTCCCACTCCAATCGGTGAGCAAGGAATTACAAGAAAGGGAGAATTAAAAATGAGATATTTTTGATGATTTGGACAAGGAGAGTTGGAAAACTGAATTATAACCTCAATGAATTACTGACAAAATAAAAGGTGTCTGTCTTAAAGGAGACAAATTGTGGCTGTTGGATAACTAGGCACGGAGCAAAACACACGTTTTATATTTTATTTTTTTCTTAAAATTTATATATAGTACGAATATTAATGACAAATATTGATTTTTTAATTCAAATCAACCATTTCTTAAAAGAGAAAAATGGAAGAAAAAAAGTCATCCTTCGAATGGCAATATCACGTCCAGAATTGGGGAAGGATAAAATCATTTTTCCCATAACTGGGGATGGCGGAAACTTTTTAACAACAGTAATATTTAAGGAGAATTCACATCCGCAATGGCCATGAAACCAAATTTGCATTGTGCCAAAGCTTGCTGTTCATTTGATTTGGGGATGAAGTGAGGGTAATTATTACGATGTATAACTGTACTGCATAAGCACTCCATGCTACTGGGGTTAATAGGAAACCATATATTTACCAAGGGATTACGCTTATTTCCCAATCCAGTAAGTCAATCTGTTGTTTAATGTCATCAAAAAGTAAAAAAAAAAAAAAAAAAAAAAAGAAGAGAAAGAACTGTGTTTCTTACAACAAATTCAGACAGCAGAAAAGGAGCAAACCATCCTCGGAGCGTTCTCTGTTACATTTTGAACATGCAGTGAATGAATCCCTCTTTTGCTGCCCATCAAAGTGACGCCATTTGATCTTAGTAATGTACTGAAAAGAGGTCATGGATCCGATTATACACTTAACCACTGGATTTCATGACAAAACAGAGGTTCCGAGAAAATGCGTGTTCACTGGCATGCATTCTTGTTACTTGATGCATATTTGGGAATGAGTGGTTGGGAGGACTGAAAAATTGAGGCATCACCGACGTGGCTGTGTGTCTTTCTCAGCAGGATGCCCAAGTGACCATATATAGACCGGCGATTATTAGAAATCCACCGATAACACTGTTACCACATATGAAACAAAACCAAATGAAGTGAATATATCACCATTTCTGTACAAGATGAGAGATTTAGATTCTAATTTGTAGTGGAATGGTCGGAAATAAAACCTTCCCAAATAAATCGGACTTCCCAGGAAAATTCTCGACATAAAGGCTGATACTGCAGGCAGAAGCGGACTATAGAGAGCCACTAAAGCCGGCCCCAAGATCTTGTTCGACCATGTCACGAGTCCGTTGGTAAGAGCTGATGCTGCAACTCCCTGCCAAAGCCAAACATCCACACATATCAGATAACTTTTCATATACTTCCACCGTTCCACGGCCTTGGATATTATGATAACACTAGCAGATCGAGTATCGAGGCCAAAGATTTAAAGAAACATGCCGCAAATATTTTAAGATTCGAGATTCTATAAAATCCAGAAGAAACTTACAGCATACACAACGGCAAAATGCTCTGGCCGTGTCAGATGCCTATCTGTTAACTCATTGGTGACAAAATATGATGTCACAACCATCGATATAGCATCGAAAAAAATAGGAAAGTGCAGTCACGGAAATGTTGGCGGGATACTCGGCTAAAACTGAAGCCTGGAATTGTTAGAAACAGTGAAAATTCAGATAAACAAGTATTTAATAACAACAAAATACACATTCAACGTTTTACAACAAGTTACAAGGCAGCATTGTTTGTCATGAAGTTTATATAGATTGTTAACGATGAAATTTACACGAACCACTCCCATACTACTTGTGAAAGGCACTAAAATTCGAACCAGTCACATATCAAACAGGTCAGGGAACAAGGGTGGTATATAGACATGGCAAACTTGATCCAAACCGATTTATCCAACCCAATATCTAATATTAACCTGCACATGATAATCAAATTTGATCCGATACTCAAACCATACCCGATCCAAAATTTAGCGAAACCAAAAGCAACCTGAACCGAAAGTAACTCGAGCCGAATGCAACCCAAACCTAAATTAACCCAAATCGATAGAAATTCGAACCGAATTTAACCCGACTTGAAAGCAATCTTAACGAAAATTAATCCGAACCAAAAGTAAGAATATTATTGTAAGATTGAAAACAATAACAAATAAAATTTACTTATCTTACTTGTAATAAAAATATTATATTTATAATAAAAATAATAGAAAGTTTACTTATGTTATAAAAGAGGGATATACAAATAAGAATCTTATTGTAAGATTGAAAATATTAACAAATAAAATTTACTTATCTTACTTGTAATAAAAATGTTAGATTTATAATAAAAATAGTAGAAAACAACTAAAATAAAAGAAATAATGTTAGATTTATAATCAAAATACTATAAAGTTTACCTATCTTACTACTATAACTTAACCAATAAAGTTATGTATTATTTTTTAAAATTTAACAAATATATTAAATTTATAATTAGAAATAATTTTTTAATAAAAAAATATTTCTTTATCATATAGATAAACTTTCCATACAAGATCAATATAAAATTTTGATAACAAGCTCTAACACACATTATACGATCCTATTTGTGTTAAATTATCCATTTATCATCTATAAATGATGGTTTAATTCAAAATATTGAAAGACTGAGAATTGAAATTATGCCTAAATGATAAGATTAACAAATAAGAAGACATATTTTTTTATAAGAATATATTAATAATTCTATTTATAATTGATTAGACTCATAATCATTTCAATCCGATTTGACCAAAAAAAAAAAAAAGAATGATAGGAGGAGGCGTTTAGTCATGGGAGGTCGAATCCTTTCGCAGGAAAGTGAACAAACAAGACCTAGAAGTTTGATTCTCGATCCAAGCAACCAAAAACTTATGAAACAGAATGGGAACAGACTGATCAACCACTAATTATAAGGTCAAACCCAAATTCAAAAAAGGAAAAAAAAAGGTTATACTTTTCACTAACGTAGGCGACGGGGGCAGGAATTAAGAGAGCAAGAAGGTCGCGGAAGACGCATAAGACAAGCTTGTTGATGCCATTGAGGGCTACCTTGGTAATTACTTTATAGCCGCCATTGATGAGTTAAACTAATAGTTTAAGTATTAAATATGTAGTTTATTTTTAAAAATAATTTTAAAATAATATATTAATGACGTGTCATCACATGTAGACCTGTCACATCAATAGAAATAGTTAACTGTTAGTCAACTAACAATTTTCATGAACCGGAGGAAATTTTGCTCCAAAAACAAAAATATTGTAGCTAAAATATTTTTACAAAAAAATAAGAGACAAAGTGATTATTTATGCGAAGGTTGGGAGATAATTTTTTTTTTATTACGTCTTTTAAATTTTAAAATTGTAGTTTTGATTCAAATAGTAATAATGGGAAGAAGGACTACAAAAGCTTAAGAAAAAGAAGAAGAAGAAGAAGAAACACAATAGATGCATTCGATTGTGTTCTCTCTCTTTTATTATTTGTATTTGGTCTCTTTGAGTATTGTTGAATTTGTTTGTAGTAATTACTTAAGTTTGATAAGGATTTTGATATTGCAAGTGATTTCACGTATAGTCATAGAGGCTTGAGTGGTGATGAACACAAGAAGTTGTTTCTGGAGAAGGATAGTTAAAAGGCCAATTGATAAGTATTTGTAGAATATTATCTTAAAATACAATATTTATTCATTTTAATTGAATACCTATTATTTGTATCTTTAATGATTTCAAACCTATAAATTCATAGAGCCTATCATTTTAATTGATATTGCAACATTTTATTTGTCCCCAACGGTTAGTTTAAATAGTTATTTTAACTTGTATTCTTTATTTTAATATTTTAGCCTTCAGCATCACGCGTTTAAAATATTCTCTTACTACGTTTATAATAGATTATTGTTATTTTCATCCGGCATGAATCACATGACTAAATCACATTAACTCTAACATTTTTAACCACTCATTCAATAAGAATCACATCCTCTCAAACAATGAGACCATCAAAGTGGGTATGATGTGGAGAAAATTGACATCCCTACTCAAATGCCTAAAGAAGAAGGAACAAAGGGCTATAATTATATAAATTTCTAAGATTGGTAGCCAGAGACAGCACAACCCACATTCAACTAGCGTGTGCACTCATGCTTCATCAACTGTCTTCATCTATTATTCTTTATTTTCCATCTTTTTCCTCCGTCTGGTATGGGTAATATTTATAAGGAAGGGCATGGTGGTGGATCGTTATTATTGTGGAAATGATAAATGAAGACAGACATATATTATATGGTACATATATATAAGTCGTACCATATACTGATATTTGATGTTGATGGGAGCTCTTAGGTTGTTGGAAGGTGAAAGTGGAAGAATCATGATGATGAAATCGTTGTGTGGCATGGAAATCTTTGCTATAATATCACATGTATTTGTAGTCCTTTTTCTTTTATTATTAAGCTTGCAAACCACGCGTGTAACCCATTTTAGGCTTCATGTCTATAACTTTCGTACATTTAAGATTTAATCATGGAATCCATCGGTCTCGGTAATTAAAAGAAGTGTTATTCTCCTTAGAGGTCTTGGATTTGAGCAGTTGCATCTTTAGAATAAGTGTCCTAGATTTTAATTAGTATGTGGGTGATTACAAGTTAGTATCTATTCATAATCTTTCTTAATCATTAACAACGTACACATACTTTACAAACACATATGTTCGAATTCGAGATCTCTAGAAAGAACAACACTCCTTTTTATCATTGAAGTCGCTTGTTTTATTTATTTTTTTTGAAAGAAAATTAGGTCTTGTAATACCCCTTCTTATCTAAATCTAAGACTATACTCAAACTCAAATTTTCGAAGGAGCAAAAGAGTGCTCATAAAATTTTATTACATGGTTAATATTCAATGCATCTTGAACGTATTATATCCCAATTAACACACAGAAAGACAACAAAACTAAAATCTCCCAACGCAAGCCATCCCTCGTACAGCCAAAAATGGAGCCCCCGTTACACCCGTTCCACCTTTTACGAGAGCAAAT